TAGGATTACAGGCATGAGCCACCGGCGCTTGGCTTCACAATGGGTACTTTTTTTTTTTTTAATACATTTGATAGTAAGCTAATTCCCCTCCCCCATTAGTACATTGAATGTCTCAGAAAACAAACTGGGCACTGGTGCTCATACCTGTAATCCCAGCTACTCAGTAGGCTGAGATCTGAGGATACTGTGTTGAAGCCAGCAGGGTCAGGGAAGTCCATGAGACTGTAATTTCTCTCTCTCTCTGCCAGTCCTGGGGCTTGAATTCAGGGCATGGGCACTGTCCCTGAGCTTCTTTTGCTCAAAGCTAGTACCACTTCCGACTTTTTCTGTGTATGTCATGCTGAGGAATCGAATCCAGGGCTTTATGCATGCAAGGCAAGCACTGTACCACTGAGCCACCTTCTCAGCACAAGACTGTAATTTCTAATCACCAAAGAGTCAGAAGTGGAGCTATGGTTCAAGTGGTAGAGCACCAGCCTTGAGTGGAAAAAGCAAAGGGACGATGCCCAGGTCCTGGGTTCAAGGCCCCCCCACACACATTCACACACATACACTCATAGCAAATAAACCAATCAACTAGCAAGGAGTTGGGCTTCAAATTCTTCCATCCATGGAGAGACACTTATAGGTCATAGGGCAGGACAATTCCCCTGCAGCCAACACAAGGGCCAATTCCAGTTGGCTCTGGGAGATCCCTGGCATACACAAAAAATCCCAGGTTGGCCCAACCCTCATCTGGGTTGAATGAAAGAGGCACGAACAAGGTTACTCTAGGTCAGAAAGGCTGAAAGATGAGCTGTTAATAGGATTCTTCTCAGAGATGTCTTCCTTTTAAGCAAGACAACAAATAAAAAAAGTATTCCCCCCAATCCCATCCTTCTGCCTGCTACCTGTCTGTCTGTCTGCTTGCCTGCCTGTCTATCTGTCTGTCTGTCTGTCTGTCTGTCTACCTGTCTGTCAGGAGAAGCCTGGACAGAGCCTGAGTGTGGTGTCTTACCTTCAGATTAGGTATCCATTACTAATGGCCACAGGTCACAGGCGTTTGCAGTGTCCAATTTCTACTTTGCAGGGAAACTTCAGACTGAAAGAACCATGTTAAGGCAAAAAATAGGAGGAAAGAGCACACAGACTCTGCCTCTTCCTGATTAACCCCGGTATGTCCCATGTTTGGATCTGCTGTATGTTGTCACTATGAACATTGTAGAGTAGGCTCTGAGCCCTGGACAGGGTTCCTCAGGTTTTCAGGACTGGTTTTACTCAGTCCTCGTGATACCCCCATGATTCAGAGGGTGCTGCTGTTGCTGGTTTTATTGCTGTTTTTATTTTAGAAGATGGAGGCACAGAAAGTTCACAAAACTAGCGATTATCACACAGCTTTGTAAGTAGCAGAACAGGCTTAGCAGGTAAAGCACCCAAGTCGTATGCTTGTCTTTTTTTTTTGCATTGTGGGGATTGAACTTAGGGCCTCAGGCACGTTAGGCAGGTTTTCTACAATTTAATTCATGTCCTCAGCCCTTTCTTGCTTTTGAGCTATTTTCTGAATTCTTCTAGGCACCATAGATAAATACTGCTATGCCCAGTTTCTTGATTAAGACAGGGTCTTGTTAAGTTTTTACCTGGTCTGGCATTGAGATCTTCCTGATCTCCCTTTTTCTCTCCAAGTAGCTGGGGTTCCAGGCAAGAACCACCTCACTTGGCAAAGCTTACAAGTATGTGCATGTGTGCGCATGTGTGCGTGTGTGTCTATGTGGATGGGGGCTTGAACTCAGGACCTGGATAGTGACTCTTAGCTTAAGGCTGGTCCTCTATCACTTGAGCTGTAGCTTCACTTCTGCCTTTTTTTAAAATTATGGTTAATTGGAGATAAGAGTTTCATGGACTCTTCCTGGGCTAGCTTCAAAATATAATCATCATGGTGGGAATGTCGCTCAGTGGTAGAGTGCTTGACTAGCATGCATGAAGCCCTGGTTCAATTCCTCAGTACCACCTACACAGAAAAAGCTGGACATAGTGCTGCTGCTAGCCTTGATCTAGCCTTGAGCAAAAGAAGCTCAGGGACAGTGCCCAGGCCCCGAGTTCAAGCCCCAGGACTGGCAAAAAAATAAAAACAAAAATAACTGTGATAATCAAATCTCAGCTTCCTGAATAGCCAGGATTATAGGCATGAACCACCAGCACCTAGCATAGCATATGCTCTTTTTGTTTGTTGGTTTGTTTTTGTTTTTGTCAGTCATGGGGCCTGAACTCTGGGCCTGGGCACTGTCCCTCAGCCCTTCAGCTCAAGGCTAGTGCTCTACGACTTGAGCCACAGTGCCACTTCTGTTTTTTTCTGCTTTAGTGGTCTTAAGGAATCAAACCCAGGGCCTCATGCATGCAAGGCAAGCACTCTACCACTGAGCCACCTTCCAAGCCCCAATCATACACTCTTAACTGCTACTTTGTGCTGTCACATAATAATGAAGCCATGCATGGTACACAGGATGCATGTAATATCAGTTCTCAGGAGACTGAGGCAGAAGAGGATGGAGTCTGAGGTCAGCCTGAGCTATATAGCAAGACTCTGACTCAGAAAAGGAAGGTCTGGGGATGTAGCTCATTGGTAGAACAGCCTGGCACACACAGCTTTCAGTTCAAACCTCAAGGCATAATGCAGGGGGCTGTGAGAACAGCAGAGACTGTAGCAGGGCCCTCAGGCTAGATGAGACACCTGAGAGGCATTCACTGTTCATATAAAGTCCAAGGCTGAGCCAGCATGCCTTTATACCCGCCATGTTCCCTTGCACCTAGAGATGGTCATGTGGCCCAGTTCCTCCTGTAATGAGAGGTAGGGACATGTGTTGGAGCAGGGAAGAGGATACTTCTGGAAAGGGTTTTACATCTGAAAAATGGTTTGGGGAAGATAAAATAACTTTCTGTAACCATTCATTCTTCTGCCGCCTGCATTTGGACTGGATTGTGATGTAATGTTTCAGCTGCAGCAGCCATTTGGTGGCCATGAAGCTCTCAGTTAACAGAAAGACAGTAGGCTGAAGCTGGCCCTTGAGGAACACACCATGGAATGCTCTCATTTACTCCTTTGTAAAAGGCACAACAGAAGCCCCGGTACCTATGCTGTTGTGAATAAAAGATGTAAAGAATTTGAAAAATGGCCTAGAAAGTACAAGGTTTCTATGATTTCTGGCTAGTATCATATTTTAAAAATTTCTTTCAGCCAGGCGCTGGTGGCTAATATCTGTCATCCTAGCTACTCAGGAGGCTGAGATCTGAGGATTTCGGTTCAAAGCCAGCTGGGGCATGAAAGTCCGTGACTCTTTTTTTTGGGGGGGGGAGGGTCCAATCATGGGGCCTGAACTCTGGGCCTGGGCACTGTCCCTCAGCTCTTCAGCTCAAGGCTAGCACTCTACCACTTGAGCCACAGACGTCACTTCTGGCTTTTTTCTTTTTGCATATGTGGTGCTGAGGAATCAAACCCAGGGCCTCAGGCATGCAAGGCAAGCACTCTACCACTGAGCCATCTTCCCATCCCAGTCCTGACGCTTATCTCCAGTTAACCACCAGAAAACCAGAAGTGATGCTGTGTTTAAAGTGGTAGAGTAATAGCCTTGAGCTGAGCTGAAGAGCTGAGGGACAGCACCCAGGCCCAGAGTTCAGGCCCCCTGACTGACCCCCACCCCTAAAAAAATTCTTTCAGTCTTTTTTTTTTTTTTTGCCAGTCCTGGGGCTTGAACTCACGGCTTGGGCATTGTCCCTGAGCTTCTTTTGCTCAAGGCTAGCACTCTATCACTTGAGCCATGGCATCACTTCTGACATTCTCTGTATTTGTGGTACTAAGGAATTGAACCCAGGGCTTCATGCATGCTAGGCAAGCACTCTACCACTACCAGCTACATTACCAGCCCCCAGATTCTTTTATTTTACTCACACAGAAGGCTTTGCCTGCTGGTTCAATATTATTATCTAATATACTCCACTTAAAATTTACTCCTTGAGTTCCTCCTACTCATCCTAGCTCTACCTAAGAGGCTGAGATCTGAAGGTCAAGGTTCTGAGCCAGCCAGGACAGACAAATCCCAGAGACTTATACCTAATTAACTAGTAAAAAAAAAAAAATCAGAAGTGGAGGTGTGGCTCAAGTTGTAGAGTGCTACCAGGAACAAAAAGGAGAGTGAACAAGAGGCCTTGAGTTAAAGCGCCACCCCCCCTCTTCCCCCTACACACCTGAATCCAACTAACCAAAGGAAAAAACGGGGACAAAAAAGGAAAAAAAATATATCCTCAACCAGACCTCCGTATTTCACTTGGTTTTCACCTCTTCTGTGCGCTGCTATTTCTGAGTCCAGGCTAGTTGCTGGGAGAAGTCTCACTTCCTGGGTTGGTCTGGTTATTTTTTGTCACGGCTGGACTTGGGTTAGCTATTTTTATGTATTTATTTATTTTTGGCCAGCGCACAGCAGAGGTGGCGGAGGTAGCGATGTGCTTTCCGCATTGCATCACATCAGCAGACATGTAATGACAGTTTGACCCACGAAGAGGGGGGTGACACCAAGTCGATCGCTCACTCGACTCGGTTCACGTCGCGTCTGCCAGCTCTCTCCCTGGTAAAGCATGCGATTCCCGGCAGCACATCATAAACACCGGGAGAAACCTGAATATTCCATGGCCGGGTAACCTTCCACCCGCTGACTTAGTGCCTCGTGAAGAGCCTCGGGGCTCCTCCGAAGACTCGGGGCGATCTTGGTCCCTGAAAGGAGGCAGGTTTGGAGGGTCCGTCCCGGGCGTACAATAAATGCTCCCTTAGATATTTCTAGATGGAGGCGAGCACGGGCGGAGACGGCACCCCGCCTCTGCGGGCCTGCCCGGGGCCGCGGATGCCCGGGGGCGAGGCGGGTCCCGCGTGGCCACGCCCTCGGCCTCGGCTGCCAGTGGGGCGGGGGCGCTGAGACCCAGGGCCAGCCGCGCACGGGCCCCTGGGACCGGTAGTGCTGGGCGTGGCCCGAGGACTACAAATCCCAGCGGTCCCCGCGCCTCGCCTCTGGCGGCTGCCGCCTCAGCCCCCTCACAGCGCCGGCGGCGGCCGCGGCGTAGTCAGCGGCGGCGGTGGCGGCTGCGGGCAGAGCGGCGAGTTTCCGATTTAAAGCTGAGCTGCGAGGAAAATGGCGGCTGGCGGTGAGTGGAGATAAAGGAGGAGGCGGCGGCGACGGCGAGCGAGGGGTGGGGTGCAAGGCGAGACGGCGGGGAGAGGGCGCGGCGCCCGGGCTGCCCGCCGCGAGCGGCGGCGGCGGCGGCTCCCGCGAGGCGCTGAGGGGCGCGCCGGGAGGGCGGGCGGCGCCGGGATGGAGTTTGGGGTGTCGGGGCCACCGCTTCTCTTCCGTCCCCGGGCAGCCCGCGGGCGGGGAGAGGAGCCCAGGCGGGGCGGCGGCGGGCTTGGGGGCTCGAGCCGAGTCCCGGATAGCAGGGGTTGCCCGGGAGTTCGGGGTGCCCCGGGGCCCCCACCTCCCCCTGCGGCCCCCGAAGTTGTGTCTCCCCCGGCCGCGCTCGGCCCCGGGGTTACCCGGAAGGGCATGGGCGTGCGGCGGAGCCCCCCGCCCGGCCTCGGGGACCCCCGCCCGGCCTCGGGGCCGCGCTGGCACCAGGCTGGCGTTTGTGGCTTTCTTCCCTCCCGCACTGGGGCATTTAACCAACAAACAGCCCGGACCCGGGTTTCCTGCAGGATTCGCGTGTCGGGTCCCGGAGGCGCTGGGCAGTTCGTCTTGTCGGTGAAAAGGGGGTCGATTGGTCGGGGAGCCCACGGGTCTGGAAGTTTCGGGGTGCCCCGTTCCCACCACCACCGGCGCTTCTCTTCCTCCGTCCGGTCGCCCGTCTACCGCCAGTAGATCGGATCCAGAGGCGCCCGCCGGCGGGGACCGCAGCCCCGGGGTCCGTGCGGGGCGCGGGCAGCTCGAGGGCATCTGGGGCCGGAAAGTTCAGCCAGAGAGCAGTTCGCGGGGCGGAGCCCGGCGAACCCTCCCGAGCCCCGGGTTCACGGGTGCAGCGCTGGGAAGGGGGACGCGCTTCTCCCCGAGACGAAACTTCTTTTTTTTCTCTTTCCTCCTCCCTCCCCCCCCCCCCCCATGCAAAGAGTTCCTTTTAGTAGTTTCAGAGCAGCGCTTCAAAGGCAACCTGTTTTTGTGATTAAGGGTGAAGAAACCGGGAAGGCGAGGGGCGAGCTGTGTCGCTCCCGCGTGGAGAGGAGTGGAGAGAGCGAGCCGAGTGGAGCGGTAGTGAGTTAGTAGCGTTATTCCGTCTCCCTCATCTTGCTCTAGCTGCCGCGTAGCGGCAGGTTGTTTGAGAGATGATGGAAAATCATAGATCCTCAGTGACTGCTGTTTGCACGAAAATGTTCGTGGAAACCGGTATGTTCGGGAACCGTCCTTCTCCACCTCCCCCCCCCCCCCCCCTTAAAATCTATTCTTATACCTGTACTGGGCTTGAACTCAGAGCCTGCGTGCCGTCCTTTTTCTTTTTCCGCTCAAGGCTGCTACTCTACCACCTGAGCCATATATCTCCACTTCTGGCTCTTCGGTGATTAGAGACCACAGTCTCATGGACTTTCTTAACCAGGCTGAAGGATCCTCAGATTTCAGCCTCCTGAGTAGCTAGATTACAGGCATGAGCCACTGGCGATTGGTGAACTGTTTGTTCCTTAAGACATGATTCTTCCGTATTGGATGCCCAATTGAAAAGGTATAAAAGCACTCAAAAATGAATCCACACCCTCCAGTTTCCCCATTGGGGCGATGACGGTTAGTATCTTGTAGAGTATCTCCGACTTTCATTCTAATTGTTTTAATATTTTCTTTGGAAACACACCCCTGTTGGGAGAGAAAATGGACAAAAAAAGGGGAGGAGATGTGGTGGAAATACCGTTGGGTTGGTTTTTTTTTTTTTCTGTCTTAAAAAAAGAATACTGATACTCTTAGAAAGACCCTTTGGAACTTAGCTGCGATTTTTGGTTTAGGCACTAACACTCGTGAAGAAATAACTATTACCAGGCTTCAGGGAGAAGAGCCCTGCGGGGTTCATTGCATGCATGTAAGATGAAGCCTCTGTTTGTAAAACGTAAAATGATATTGAACACCATAGCTCCTGTCACTAGAGGATGCTTTGGGTTTTAAATGTAAATACACAGTAATCTAAATTGCCAGTGATCCTAAATTGCAGGGTATGTTAGATATTGGTAGAAATGACTTAATTGTCCAATCACCACTAAAAAAGAAAGCGTCAAATGCCAGCTATGGGCGTGTAGTAGATGGGATTTGTGGACTGAGTGCAGGCTGCGTGTTTCTACCGCAGTTGTAGGAAATGTTTCTATCAGAAAATCTCCTTTAACTACAGAGGCTTTGAAAATACAACATTCATCATCATAAACAAGATTTACAAAGTAAGTTTTAGAATTTTTAGAAACTAGACAGGAAGAGTCTCGATTTGTAGCTCAGGCTGGCCTTGATTGAACTGGAGATCTTAGGTCAGCCTCCCAAGTGCTGGGATTATGGGTGTGGTGGCTAGAATGGTTTAAAAAATTTACTTAAAACAGATCACTAAACCACTTCAGTAGCATTGCTGTTAGACTATTAGGGATTAGAGATATTTTTCTGTCTGAATATATTTTGAGTGCTGGGGGTTGAATCTAACTAATATGGGCTGTACACTTGAGTCCCCCACACCTCCAGTTTCACTGTATTTTGAAAGTAGTTTGTGCATTTCCCTTTGTGTGAAAATTTTATTGTGCCCCTCCCCCCCTAAGTAAAGGAGCGTACATATTGTATTGGACCCCAGACCCTGGGAAATGTATTAAAAAATGTTCTTGGAATGACTGCTTACTAATGCCTTGGGGGGGGGAGGGTGGCGGTGCTGGGATCTAACTAAGGGTCTCATGCATGACAAGCAAGCATTTTAATCACTGAGCTATATAAATGTAAGTCAGCTAAAATCTTGTTGACTAGTACTTTGAGAAAGCCTCACTATGTCAGGGCCATCACTCTAAAGAAAAATAATTTATTTAATAATTCTTAAAAAAGATTTAGGTTTTATATATATTACCTGTGTAAGTCTAGAATAGTTCCTTTTAAGCCCAAAACTACCATACTTTTGGGAATTTTCTAATATTTTGTAGCCTGGACACTAGGGATAAAAAGCCCACGATTGCCCTGTTCCTAAATTGATTATTACATAAATGGCTTTAGGGTTTCTTTTTTCTTTTTTCTTTTTTTAGGCTGTATAATTTCAAATCTTGGCCAGAGGATGTAGAATACTTTTTGATTTTTTTTTTTGCTGTCAGTTCTGGGGCTTGAATTCAGGGCCTGCACACTGTCCCTGAGCTTCTTTTGCTCAAGGCTAGCACTGTACCACTTGAGCCACAGCACCACTTCTGGCTTTTCTTCTGTTTATGTTGTACTGAGGAATCGAACCCAGGCAGGGCTTTATGAATGCTTGGCAAGCACTCTACCCCTAAGCCACATTCCCAGCCCCATGAAAACTTTTAATTTGTTGCAAATTTAAGATAAGTATGGCCTCTAGTAGCTACTTGCCTATGTAGCAAATTTGCCACAATTTAATACAGTTACTGTCAGTGCTTTTCTGCTACTAGAAAAACTAGTTGTCTATCATGATTTAAAAAAATATTCTAGTTTCTCATACATTGAACTGAACTAGAGATTAGTCATACCAGTTTGGTTTGAATTTACTGTACTGAATGGTATAGTCTTTTTCTTGCACCCCACCCCCCATTATTGAGTAGCTAAAGCTCTAGAAGCAGAAAGTTAGCACTGAACTTTCATATTAGCTTTTTTCTTCTTTTTCATAGTTGTGTAAATTGAAAGGAAAAGGCTGACTGTACATTTAGATTCCAGGGATAGTTTGGGGACTAAGTGTTACAGTAAAATGTTGGCATTGTCTCATTTTTATGAGCGTTTTTTGATTGGGGAGGGAATTACAAAATAGATTTAAGGAGGGAGGAGTGGCTCTTGGAGTTAGGCACATCCACTAGTTTTTTGTTTTTGTTGTTGTTGTTGGTTGTGGGGCTTGAACTTTGGGCGTGGGCGCTGTCCCTCAGCTCTTTAGCTCAAGTCTAGTGCCCTACCACTTGAGCCACAGTGCTATTTCTGGTTTTCTGGTGGTTAATTGGAGATAAGAGTCTCACAAACTTTTCCTGCCTGGGCTGAATTTGAACTATGATCCTCAGATCTCACCCTCCTGAGTAGCTAGGATTACAGGCCTGAGCCACCAGCGCCGGGCTTCATCCACCAGTTAATTTGTTAGGTAAATAAATTTGGTTCATAGTTTTTGAGAGGTTTCTATGAGATTATTTTAAGTTATCCACAGCTTAACCTTCCAGACGTAGCATATGCCACTCAAATTGACTTGAGTTTAAATGCTTTTCCAACCTTTTTTTTTTCCACTTTTTTTTTTGTCTTTTCTTTTTTGATACTGGGGATCCAATCCAGGATGTTGCACTTGCTAGGCAAACGCTTTGCTACATCCCTGCCTTTTCCAACCTTCTTGTAGAAAGTTGTCAAATGAACAGGAAAGTGGTTGGGATACACACAGCATGACTAGAACAGAAGACCTGGAGAGATTAGGAGGCCAGCCAGTTTAGTCACTAACGAGATAACCTTAGACTACATACTGTCAGTTCCCAATTTTGTCAGGGTTAATCTTGTTTGGTGGATATTGCTGTCTAGGTGAATTTATAGTGGGGACAGTAATAAAAGTTTATTTAACTATCTATGTAGTAAACTTTGTGGCCTGGAGGACAGGAAGGGAGTTGGATCTGACTGGCAAACAGGTTTTGCTTGTGTGTGCATGTGTGTGTCCGCACCTGGGCACGTGTGTGTGTGTGTGTGTGTGTGTGTGTGTGTGTGTGTGTGTGTGTGTGTGTGTGTGTGTTTTGGTCCTAGGGCTTGAACTCAGGTCCTGGGTGCTTTCCTCTAGCTTGTTTTCTTTTTCTTTTTTTTCCCCAGTCCTAGGGCTTGAACTCAGGACCTGAACTTCTTTTGCTTAAGGTCAGCACTCTACCACTTGAACCACAGGGCCACTTCTGGCTTTTTCTGTTTATGTGTTACTGAGGTATGGAATCCAGGAAGCACTCTACTACTAAGCCACATTCCCAGCCTTCCCTGAACTTTCTTGTTGAAGGGAAAACTCTTATCATTTGAGCCATAGCTCCATTTCTGGCTCTTTGGTGGTTAATTGGAGAAAAAGAGTCTCACAGACTTTTCTTGCTGGGGGTGGCTTTGAACCATGGCCCTCAGATTGAGCCTCCTGAGTAGCTAGTATTGTAAGCATGAACCCCAAGTCCTGAGCAGGTTTTGCTTATTTAAAAAGAATTTTCTGAGAGCAAATGGACCAGTGTCTTTTCTGGTTGGCTCCCTCCCATTTCCTGGCCTGTTTTTATTTTTTGGTTAAGAACATCTCTGCTGTGTCATGCTTTTTTCTTCTCCATTAATTAAAAAAAATTGATCTATTTAAGATAGGGCTTTTTTTTGTTTCCTGTTCTATAGAGATAATTTTGTTGATAAAATTTTTGTCTACTTTTTTTGTCTATTCTGTGAATTTTGTTTGGTAACTTCCTTGGTTAGAGCTGTTAGTGAAGGTTATAAAAACTCACGTTCTAATTAGAATTCTAAATTTAACTCTTTATTACCCACATGATGGTGAGAATGGAGTATTGGCCTGGGTACTACAGAGTAATGGATAATCTGCTCCCTGGGGCTTTGCTTTTGGTAGCTATGGCAGCTGAATTGGAGTGCTGGATGGCTAGATGGAGGAGGACTGCAGAAGTCAGCGTAATCCTCAATTAGGATAAGCCTTATGGTTAATTGAATGTTGAGTGTGTAGTTTAAATCCCATTATAATAAACTCCAGGGGACTAGTTAAATTATTTTATTGTATTGGATTATTAGGCTTTATT